GAATCACACAGCAAACACCTGATACAGGTTATTTTTAAGTTAAAAAATGGCAAGTGATTCCATCGCATTTGACTGGCTAACCAAGTATCATATTTGTGTGAATGTTTCCGTGAAGCAAATTAGGCCACGCCCACTTGCGAAATCTGTCACTGAGAGAGAGTAATAGTGAGTGAGTGAGTGAGTATGGTTTTACGCCGCTTTTAGCAATATTCCAGCAATATCACGGCGGGGGACACCAGAAATGGGCTTCACGCATTGTACCCATGTCGGGATTCGAACCCGGGTCTTCGGCGTGACGAGCGAACGCTTTAACCACTAGGCTACCCGACCGCCCCGAGAGAGAGTAGTTGCTCTGGGCTAAAACTGTTTGAGTCTACTGGCCCAAATTTGTATTTTGCATTACTTTCAGCCCATTTTTGTCTTTTTATACAGATTAATATAAGCTGATGGAACAAGAAGGGAAATAATTTGACTGGGATCAGGCTCCGGACTGGCTAAAATTGCTGACAGATATAGAAAGAAGAGGTCTCACATATTGCATCCATGTGGGGAATCAAACTCAGTCATCAGCCTACCTAACTGCACCGCTGGGCTACTCAACCCTCTGTGTGTGAGTGAGTGAGTGAGTTGGTTTTAACACCGATTATAACAGTATTACAGTTATATCGCGGCGTGTCAGCCTAATGTGGGAGGAAAGCCCGAAGTGATGCAGGTCTCAGACGTTTACTTCTTCGGTGAAACCCACAAGCACGGGTATGGTGCTGACAAACCTAGAAACATAATCGGGGCGAACCGGGATTCAAACCCACAATCATAGGTTTCTGGCGTGCCCAAGGGACGCAACTCTGCACAGCGAATTGCAGCACCTTAGACGACTGGGCCACCTGTGCCCTCCATCTGTGTGTGAGAAAGACAGATCTAGTGCTAAGAGTTGGACAGATAATCACAATCATTTCATTAACAGGCTTAAACTCAAATGTATTCAATATTATTAACCCAATAAAATACCACCCAACCCAACAAAATTAAACATTAGGTTTATGCTCTGTATCCCAGTAATGGGCAGTAGAAGTCATATAAATGTGTACTTCATGCAATAAATCTTCAATCAACAGAAATATTAGCAATTTAGCCAAAAATGTCCGCTCCCATCCATCAAGCTTTATTGACATGCCACCTGACAATGATCTGGACCTGAAATCCTTTCAGTCCTGTAGTACCTAGCTGTGGCATGGAGTATCGGAAATATAATCAAGTTACTCCATGCAGGGGTGTTATTCTCCTTCCACTGTATTCCATGTCATATTAGATAAATCAATAATCAATGCCCACCACTCAGAGGTTTAAGTGGGACAATGGCACGGGAACAATCAACAGTGGAACTGATATATACTCAGGGAAAGAAATAAGGGAACATTGTTAAATGACAGTATATTTTAGTGTTTAACAATGATTGTAGCTGTGTTTCATTGTTTCTGTTGAGATTAGGTAGACGTTCATTGCAATTGTGTTTTGACAGTGATCAGTCATCAGGAAGTAACTACATTTTGATGCTAGTGTAGTCTGGTATTCGTGTTGACGTATCTCATGCATTTTTTTTACATCAAAACCAGCTTTCATGTGAGGATCGCTCATCATACCTGCCTAGCCCATCTTTGATGCTTGACCACTGTCACCGCTAGGTGAATATATATTGTTATCACTGACTTTTGCTATCACCACTGTATTTTTTTATTTGATACTGACCACTGCCATCATATTATTTATTGAATAAATACCCCTGTATTGTGTACTGCCATTGTAATTGCTGTGCAGTAATTAGTATTGATTTGTAAACTTAGTGAATTTGGTTATATATTTGTTGATTGTGTACCACTTGTTGGTTGTTTGATGGTTTCACACTAAGTTCTTTTATGTACAGATTTCTGGATAAACATGATAAAGATATTGTTTCTATTTGGGAATCACCACGTAACAACATGTAAAAGGAAGCAAGATGACTGACCTTTATTTGGCATTGCTTTGACACGTCACTTTGTTTGTATTCTTCTTTGTGTACTAATGTTGTTGATATGATGTGTTAATGATGTGTTGAAAACAGGAGCAACCTTTCTTCTTCCATAAACCTATACCGTAGCCCATGTGATAATATTATTATAACATTAGTCTTTCTTACAGACCCTGATACAAATATATATCAAATACAGCCCATGCAAGTCTATAATGTTTGGCAAGTCTAGATCACTGCAGTATCTGAAAATGAAGAGAGTCACTGGGCTCCTTTTTATTATATTTTCATTAAGATAACTGAACAACTGTTTTTTTATGTACGATATGTTCATTTCAGAGACTAGATTTTAGTCTATTATAACATATACATGTACTATTTTACATCTATTTATACCATCAGTATAAGCAAGGTTTTATGTTGACTTACAAAAACGGGAATCCCGATGACCCCAATAATTAATCATAAGGGGCCTTGCAGGCAATATGAGGGTCCTGTACAGTAATGAAATGGTGAAGTGTACTGTACATCTTGATAATTACTTTAGGGCCTGGACTGAATCAATGATCATGTGGACAGGGGTCATGATTGATGGACGAAATGACAGACACCCACAACTGTTCTTCATGCACTGTAGGTGCAATGAATATTACTGCGTATCCCTCGGGCTTTCAGTAATTTCTTTTTCTGCATCCAATTTCAACATTTGTGTGTCGCGTAAAACCCTGGGTATATGTAATTTATCATCCCAAACTGGCTCCCACAGGAGATATCGCTAGGGGGCGATCAAGCGATATCTACATTGTAGATATCGCTGCAATGAAATTGCAACACAATACTTTTCAGACCATTGTGATTGGTTACCATAACGTCACAATCAAATGACATCACTAATGGCTCTGCTACTGAAGCTGTAAGCAGTGCTTTTTACACTTAAGACACTGCTTATTACAGTCTACAAATTGAAAAAGTTGGAAGAATGATGTTGGATGATAAATAAAATCTCACCCTCGTGTCTTTTGATATCAAATATATCAACACTTGTTGATAAAAGTGGAAAGACTCCTCGGCAAGCCTCAGAGTTTTACCACTTTCATCAACGGTGTTGATATATTCGATATCAAAAGACACCTGGAGGACATTCTCTATTTATCCTATAATACTATTATGTAAAACACATGTTCCCTTATTTCTTTATAATCAGTGTATGCTATCAACCGTTACCAAAGTCCATGTGATATTATAAGACATATATTGCAGCATAATCCCTTATTTATTTTTTATGAGTATATGCAACTCATCTTTTATCGCAGTCCATGAGATAATATTATATTACACATACTGCTACATGTTCTCTTATTTATCTCTATATGTAACTTATCAATTACCACAGACAGTCCATGTGACCTGAGACCTGCATCACTTTGGGCTTTCCTCCCACATTAAGCTGACACGCCATGATATAACTGGAATACTGTTAAAAGCAGTGTTAAACCCAACTCACTCACTCACTATGTGACACATACATTAACCCGAGTAATTATCTCCCGTACATTGTTCATGATGCCATCAACATTTTTATGCAACACTGTAATAATAGAGTGACCTAGGTCAACTCAAAGATGTGCACAGTCAAGTATCCTCCCTAATATCACAACGGGTAATATATACAAGTTTGTTTATTGCTTAACGCCAAACTTAGCTATATGGCAGTGATCTGTGTAGCAGTAAGTCAATATATCTAATGTGTTTACATTATAGCATGTTCCACCAGTGCTTTGTACACAGTTATTATAGCTAGTTGTTGTACCAGCACTGTACTGTAGATCATTGGGAGTTATTCCCCTTTAGTTGATTAAACATGGCTATAAACCAGACATGCGCTTTTGACTCACTAGAAAGTTGAACCTTCTAAACAGAAGTTCCAGAAGTCAATAAGACCATTACAATCTGTACATAATCAAGTCTGGACCAATCAATCCAGTGATTGATATCATGAGCATCGATCCACACAATTGGGATACAATGACATGGATCAACCAAGAGCCTGATCAACCAAACCTGTTAGTCACCTTTTAAGACAACTCCACAAGCATGGGCTACTGAAGACCTATTCTAACTGGGTGAGGTGAGGTGAAATAGGGTTTAACGTCGCGTCCAAGATTATTGCACTTATATAGCGACGTGCATGCACGTGTATGTGACTGCTTGTACTAGTCCGGACTGATGCCGATTTATAGTGCTAGCTCACTGAGATACCATGCCGCAGTTTAACATGATTACCCCACTCAGTCACAGTATATTGACTCCGAGCCGACCAGTCCTTGTTTTAGCCCCTTAATGCCAAGCGCCAGGCAGGGTAACAACAAGTGCCATGTTTTAACGTCTTTTGGTATGACGTGGCTGGGGATCGAACCCCGGACCTTCCGCTCTCCGGGCGGACGCTCTACCATTAGACCACGGAGGCGGTCTATTCTAACCGGGATCTTCACGGGGTAATAATAACATATACAAGAACCTTCGCATATCCTTATATTGACGATAATATGAGTTAAGGTAGTAAGCAGCCTCTCAGGTTTCTCGTCTAGCCAGGAAACATTCGCTAAACATGGTACCTTTAAATGAACCACCCGTCTTCAACCAGTTCTCTGGTCTAAAGGTTACAGTCCCTGACAACTGATCAGGAGGTTGTGGGTTCGATTCCCATCTTCCATAACAAAAAGGTTCAAATCTTGTCTTCGATTTCAGAACACTGGACATTTGTAATACTAAGTCCAAAATTCATCTTCTACTACAAGAAAAAGTAAAACCTTATACCTGGTTTTACTAATACCAGGTACAACCTCATACCTGGTGCAAGGTCTTACTAGAAAAAGTAATACCTCCTAAGAGGTTTTTGCAAAGAAACAAGTAACGCCCAAAACAATGGACAATATCCATAGGACCATAAGTGTTGGGCAAACCCTGTCATTAGTTCGAAGCCATATCTTACCTTGGGCAGAATTTCCTTCAACACCCCTGGATGCAATGCCTGCAAGACAAGAGGACAACAGTCAGTACAGTAGAATGCCAGTCAAACAGGAAGTGACGTCATCCGTGGTCACATGGTCTACATAGCTCCTACATTCTGTACATACTCAACTCAAAGTGAGTCACTCAGATACTATTATTTTCATGTTTTTTAACACTCCAGGGGTTTGTTTATCTAGACCTGCTCAGAGGCAGATATTTGGGTTCAAGTCTACAGCAAATTTCAGTGAAATTCCCAAATTGGAATTGCAAATTTCCAAAGTCATATAATACAGGAATACCTAATGTTAAGCATATAGAGGCTTTGTACTTCACTGACCACTTTGAGCAAAGTAACTATTAGTTTGGAATCCTAGACAAATTCCTGCACCTTTACAAACCTCCCTATGAATACAATATAGTTGGTCTCTAACTGTCTAAGAAGGACGAGTCTCGGACGTTCCAAACCACTGATAATACAATTCATGAATTTCATTGAATTGAAGTTGCTTGGCTTCTAACCATTAAGAGTTATGGCCCTTCAATATAACATATCTGGTTGTGCCGTCATTTGGACAGGAAAATGATAACATTTATGCGCCTTTTGTGTGCAGTTGAGAGGCTCAAATTCAGGATTTTTTTTACATTATTTTTCAAATACCAACGTTTTAAGAACAAACCAAACAAAAACATTTACCGGTAATCGCCTTTACACGACACTCAGCAATATTCCAGCTACATGACACAGTTTGTAAATAATTGAATCTGGAGCTGACAATCCAGTGATTGATATTAGAAGCAACAATCTAAACTGGAGGTGCAATGACATAGAATTTGCCAAGACTCTGAAACTGACCACCCTATCCTGTAAGTCATAGAACCAGCATACATTGCCCAGGACCAATTCTAAACAGGAACTCACGAAGGACGAGGAACTGGTGACAAGCGACCTACTTGCATAGCCTGCCTGTTGCGGTCCATCCGATCGTCCCTCATCTGCTTGTAGTCAGGCTGGTCCAACTCTGGCTGGGGACCCACATCCAAGGAGGGGTACGACTCCGCCATTCTCACTGCGCACGATTGTGTGGTCACTGTTTCTCCAGTATCTCCATGAGGGTAAATCTGGAACAAAACATCCACAAATGTTATCTTATGAGATACTCCAACCACATGTCACAGCTAAAAGTAGATCCATCACATTGCCAAATATAAAATCACGAAAAGATCATTAAAGATGTTCAAGGCGACAGTGAGAGTAAAACTGCTTGTTCGAGGACAAGCCCCACGCTACATGCATCTGCTACACGATGATATGGCGGTTGAATTGTCCTGAGATTTAGAAGGAGCATATCACCCCTTTTCCTTCTCGGTTTTAATGCCATTTTGAACTGTATTCCAGCTATGTCCCTGCATGTCAGCTTACTGTGGATAGAAAGCCTGAAGTGATGTGGTGCTCAGAAGTTAACCACTTTGGTGAAACCCACAAGTAGGGGTATGGTGCTGACAAACCTAGAAACATAATCAGGTCGAACCAGGATTCAAACCCACAATCATAGGTATCTGGCGTGCCCAAGGGAAGCAACTCGGCATGGACAATTGCAGCACCTGAGACAACAGGGCCAAGATGCATATCAAATAGGGCTGGGACGAATCCAAATTTACTCCCCGAGTACCCACCCCTCTATTACCCGACCCTACCCGGGTACCCACTCTAGGTCTTAAGAGATAGGTACAAAATGTCCGATTGGTCATTTTGTTATCATGGCATTGGCAAAACGTATTTAGATACATGTATTAAACAATCTGGTCATGCATTCTCTGAAGTTGACTCAAGTTATATCCTTATTCAAAGATATGAAAAGTCAGAAGGAATGCGAACATTTGTGACTCGTAGTGTAGCCATAGAATGATAGAGTTCTGGATACTTTTTTGTCATTGAACAATATATCACGTGACTAACCACGGGTCCAGGTAATCCTGTGGGTACCCGGGTCCACCTCAGTACCCACCTGACCCGGGTACCTGGGTTACCTGTCCCAGCCCTAATATCAAACATGAAATGTTTGTAGTTCAACACTGACATCAGCAATATTCCAGCTGGACCACACAAGCTCGTAAATAAAGTCTGAACCAGACAAACCAGTGAGTGATAGCATGAACAACGATCTAAGACGTTGGGGCATGATGACATGCAACCGGCCAAGTCACCAAGACTGACAATCCTCTACTTTCAGTGGGTTCCTATTTCTTCCTAATCTAACAATCACAATAAATCGACATGTACAAGTCTCTTCAATAACTGACAATATGTTTGGCATGTTTTGCCCCAATCCTGATTTGTTTTTTCATAAAATGTAATTTATTTCTGTTAAACTGGGTGGGTACATTATTAGTTAGTCATCTAGTTATAAATCATTCTTTTGCATGTGCAATATTATTCATTTTTATTATTATGGTCTGATCATTTTTTTTACTTTATTTTTCATGGTGGCAATGTAAAATGTGTAAGGAGACAGTTTGGATGGAAGCTATATTTGTATTTTTCTCAACGCACATCTTGTTATAAACTGACAGGTGTCATTCTTGATTCGAAAATCAATAGATCAATAATTAATTAATATTGTTCATTGCTTTTTCACATTAATTAACAAATATCACATTCACAATTAAAGAGATACACACTTGAACCTTTTCAGTAAGAAATCTTAAACTTAGTACACTGAAGGGATTTGTTCAAAGGTTCAATGAGTCATCTGGCATATTAAAAATGTATTTTATCTTGTCCTGTGTTTTTTATGAGAAATGGTTCCAAGTGGGCACGATCACGCTCGCTATAAACCTGTGTGACAATACGATTTCCACATCCCGCAAAATCCCTGTACATCAATGACACAAACATTGTTTATTCTGTCATTGTGTTGGAAACAACATCACAGACTGACAACAGTTCGTAAACCCAGCATCGGAATCCGACATCGGAATCCCAAATATTCCACCGTTTACCAATCATAAAAACAAAGCTCTGGTATGACTCATCACAGTACGCACGTTAATGTTGTTTTCGTTCATAAAATGTGGGAAAATGCGATAAAACCATGTTGTACAAACCCGCGTCTATTTTCCAGATTCAGCTGTCACTCTGCACGTGTGTTTTGAACGGTCGTGATGATAATGACAACAACGATGGCCGACTTACCGCAACATCAAGCAGAGCTAACATTTCATAGCAGGTGCCCGTGGTAGTTTCGAATCCCGTGGCGCGAAATATGACATAACATATGTATCTACGTATCATATAATTAGTAATATATTATTTTAATCGATGACCGAGTGGTGGCATTGTGGTACACAGTACGAAATCTTGATTAAATGTTGATTAAATTGATCGTAATGTTCATTAAAGTTAAAGTTTAAGTTAGACATAATTATGAGTAATAGTCTTTACCCGTGAAGATCCGGGTTACATTTGATCTTCAGTTACCAATGCTTGTCGTAAGATCCGACTAACGGGATCGGGCGGTTGTTGCCTTGGTTGATGCATGCTACCGTATCCCAAATGTGTGGATCGATGCTCATGATGTCAATCACTGGATTGTCTGGTCCAATTAACATACAGACAGCCGTTATATAGCTGGAATATTGCTTGAGAGTTGTGTTAAACAACAAATCGCATTCATTCACTTAACATGGCCACCGTTTCCAAAGTGTGTGGATCGATGATCATGATGTCAATCACCGGATTGTCTGGTCCAGACTCGATTATTTACAGACCACCGTTATATAGCTGGAATGTTGCTGAGAGTGGTGTTAAACAACACGCTAAATAAAGACAAAATAATCGCATTCATTCACTTAACATGGCCACCATTTCCAAATTGTGTGGATCGATGATCATGATGTCAGTCACCGGATTGTCTGATCCAGACTCGATTATTTACAGACCACCGTTATATAGCTGGAATATTGCTGAGAGTGATGTTAAACAACACGCTAAATAAAGACAAACAAATCGCATTCATTCACTTGACATGGCCACCGTTTCCAAATTGTGTGGATCGATGATCATGATGTCAATCACCGGATTGTCTGGTCCAGACTCGATTATTTACAGACCATCGTTATATAGCTGGGCTATTGCTGAGTGCGGCGTTAAACAACAAACAAACACATCTTATTCATTTACTAAACATGGCCACCGTATTCACGATTTCTGCATTCAAGTAACGTTTCTTGAGTACGAGAGTGGGCGAGCTGAATTTTAACTGTAAACATTGAAACAATACTATCAAGGCAAGCGGAGGGTCAGGGAAAAGAGATGCAGGCTGCAAACATTGACACCAACGACAGTCTTGCAGCACGCTTTAGTGTGCACCGCACTCAAGGGCGGATCCACCATATTTAAAAGGGAGGGTTCCGAACTATTAAAATCGTCTCTCAGATAATTTTACTGCCTACAACATACTACAAATCCGCCTTCAACATACTACAAATCCGCCTTCAACATACTACAAATCCGCCTTCAACATACTACAAATCCGCCTTCAACATACTACAAATCCGCCTTCAACATACTACAAATCCGCCTACAACATACTACAAATCCGCCTATGACACGTGATGGGGATATCCGACTATAACACATGATGGGGATATCCGACTATAACACTTGATGGAGATATCCGACTATAACACTTGGTGGGGATATCCGACTATAACACACGATGGGGATATCCGACTATAACACTTGATGGGGATATCCGACTGTAACACTTGATGGGGATATCTGACTATAACACGTGATGGGGATATCCGACTATAACACATGATGGGGATATCTGACTATAACACTTGCTGGGGATATCTGACTATAACACTTGATGGGGATATCCGACTATAACACTTGATGGGGATATCTGACTTTAACTCATGGTGGGGATATCTGACTATAACTCATGGTGGGGATATCCGACTATAACACTTGATGGGGATATCCGACTATAACACGTGATTGGGATATCTGACT